GTTAGTTCTAATCATGCAGCCAATTTAGGCAAAAGAACAAGTGAAGTGACATATTGTCTTAATCAATTAAACTAGAAATTCTTATGTTCGTAGTAGGAACTTCTAACCTGTTAAAGGTTATATCTTGTCTGATAGCAATTTTGTTTACAAAGTTTTTCGTTGATCTCATGGGCTTTCTGCGTCTGCTTATTCGCTTTCTTTCTTATTAACTCAACCGAGTCCTGTCGATAAAACATCAAAGAATGTTTATCTAACAGGTCCAACTTCCTTAACAAGGAGTATGTAGAGCCGCAAGTTACCATATGCTGAATCGAAGAATTCTATTCAAATGATCGCCCCAGTCCTTCTGATTTGCAGATAGGCTTGAAGATGGCTCACATTTCGGAAATTACGATTCGATTTATACGCTCGGAATATTTGTTTTTTTCTCTTACTTTGCATTTGTTTATTCAAACTTCCCAATAAGTTTCAAAATCGTAATGATAAATATTTTGGGTTAGCAGTTTTTATAAACTTCTTTTTGTATTAGACCACTCGCTAGGTGATTAAATGTTACCGACCATAATGCTCAGTCTTACAGTGATATTGCGCCATAGTTAATATTGCGCCATAGGCTGTTACTTGATGATGCTGTATTGAGTTGACTCTGTCCCCTTTAGTTTCACTATTCTTTTCTGGGTAAGATATAATTCGTCCCATTCAGATTGTTGTTTAAATTTCTTTAAATATTCCATGTTGGTTGGTAAACTGTGTCATAATAGTTGACACTTAACTCTCTTTTTTGTGTTGGCATGTCTTTTGTAACCGGCGCTTCACCAATGGAGCTGGAAGGACGTTGTACAGATAGCTGTTCTTTCAAAAGCGGTGCAAAAAAAAAAAAAAAACGGTGAAGTTTTTTTGTCTACTAATCGTACATGGTCGTCCATGCCATGATAAGGTTCAATGGCTCACCAATCAAAAATGCCCTATAGTAAGCGCAGATGAGTCCTTAGAGTTGGGCGACATAGGTGTGATTGGTCGGAAGTTGGAGCAATCCACTTCAATCATGACGGTATTGAGCTCCTTAAATGTCAACGACAACAGTCGTTTTTACAGCCTCTTCCCAAAGGCCTTCAAATGTTCCCGACCGTTGAGGTATGAAATTAAAATCCACCAGTCTTTTACTGCAGTGCTAAATAATTTGAGATTATGCCTTTTCCGACCGTAATGAATTGGGTGGCATTGACGCAATGAATGGTCTATCATTTTCCAAGCCGACTCAAAAATCTTCGAATCACGGCCAAAAATTAATCTGCCGTTATGTAAACATTGTATATATGCTTTATCCGATATTTTTCCACGGATTCTGTGGTGGAAGCTGGACCGCCAAAGAGTCAACCGTGGAAGTCAACAAGGAGCAATATCGCTACGTCGAGACCTTTGGGGCGATCCAAGTAGCTAAGGTCAATAAGACATGGCTAGGTTGAGACGATCCGCTACACTACTAATCGAGACCAACCCTGGACCAACCCGGGGAGTCCGATAATGCTTGAAGAGGCGAACCCTTTCCCAGCGAGGACCCGTGTGTGTCGGAATTGTGGTGAAAGCCCGATAGACTGTTTTGGAGATTACTACCTTAAGTTCGTCTACGACAGCAATTCGTAGACCAATTGTTCTTCACCCAGCAGCGCAATCCGCGCCATGCAGCACGACGAGAGAGGGAGGACAACGGAACAACGGTGTGTCGGAATTGTGATGAAAGCCCGATAGACTGTTTTGGAGATTACTACCTTAAGTTCGTCTACGACAGCAATTCGTAGACCAATTGTTCTTCACCCAGCAGCGCAATCCGCGCCATCCAGCACGACGAGAGAGGGAGGACAACGGAAACGGGCTTAACAAGCCAGTTTGAGAAATGGCTAGGGTGAAACGTTCGTCTTTCAATGCGCGTCTTGCTGCAGCTACAGTAGTTTATTGCGGATCGGTTGCTGCTCCTGATCTGGTTTCATGATGTAGAAATGGGTGATGTTCTTTGTCACACTTGAAACATGAGCGTCCACGGCATTCCACGGCATACATCCTTTGTTTTTGTACCCAGTTAACACGTTCGGATATCTATCTGCTCCGTTCTTGAATGTTTAGTCTATGTCAAGACCCTAGATCTCTCTCTAGAGCCATTAAAAATTGGTCGTAAAGGGATCTGCCCGTAAAAAGCTCAGTGCCGAGTCGCTTCAACGGTACCGGTTTTCCCATCACAGTAAACTCGTTTAGAGCGCGCTCACTAGAATCGCCTTTTGTCGACGATATGCCGATCTGAGCATTTCGGATACTATCCGAAAGAATGGTCAAAGTATATATGTATCAGTTCAGTTGCTGCTGGTTTTACCCAAATGTTTATTTGGTTAGTCTCTGTTAGACTCTGAAAATATCAGATGTGTCGAAGGTATTTCCGATTCATATTGAAAAAATACGAACTAAAAAATAAAAAAAAAAAAATAATATGAACAACCTAACCATATTAGTAACTTTAAATCTTTCTAACTCGGGTGCCATATTCCCACTTGACGGTTTTGGCCTGTTTTAGTAGTGGGAATATACGGGAGTGGTGATTCGGGAGCGGCACGTAGTGGAGACACCTACCTTCGTTTATCAAGATACGAACTGAGTCGATACACGAACCTATGATTCGCCGAGACACATTCAATTGGATAAATATAATTCCTGTTGGAAAATGTATTGGGTTTCAGTAAAAACCTGGTTGAAGGTATATATTAATCAGTTTGGTTGCTGCTGGTTTTACCCAAATATTTATTTGAATAATCTTAGGACTCTGAAAATATCAAATGTGCCGTAGGAAACGATTAATGGTAACAAACGTTATAATCCTTCAAAGTGTCTCCTCTTTAAAAAATTTGTGCAACATGTGAGCAATGTGCGTTGACACACGAGCTGGAATTATTTTCCGATAAAATAACTTAATTAAAATTGTAAAACTGTAAAATAGACCAAATAAACATGAAAATTAAGTTAGCATTAATTTGTTACCTATATTGAATAAACAAGCAAATTAAGTTTGTGAGGAGTATTAAAACTCCCCACAAATCGAGGTGCTGGAGAACTGCCTAGCAACAGCGAAGAAGGCTGAAATATAGAAGGAGTCAAGGGCAACCAGGTCAAATGGGAAATAATGGACCTTGGACTCAAGACGGCCAAGGGCACAGAGGTCGAACGGTAATGGTGCGGACTTTGGACAAGCACAAAGAGGACGCACCGTGAACTAACGGGACCTGGGTTGGACCTTGTACCCAAGCGGGCCGTACGGAGGAAAGGAGGAAATAACGGGATCCCCGCGGCCTATAAAAGGGACTGCGCAGGCGCAGCTCGAGACAGTCAGCTAAACACGCGTAAGTCATACGTGCAAGAGGATAATCGGGCAGAGTACGGGCGCAGTCCCGGCGCGACCGCGCGACAGACAGTCAGCTAAACACGCGAAGAGCCGTACCCCGGGACAGAGAATCAGCTAAATACGCGGAAGTCATACGTGCAAGAGGATAACAGGCCGACAGTCAGCTAACACGCGAAGGCCGTACGTGCGATCAGAAGGGTCAGTGGAGTCATTGGTCGGTCAAGTTGGTCCGGACTCACGGACGATACACCTCCCCACCATAGCATCCTAAGCCCCAAGCCTAAACACGGTACCACGGTCGAGGACGCCGCAGGACAACGAAGGGCATCGGCAGCGCACAGGAACCTGGCACGGGCGGAAGGGTCGGTGGAGTCATTGGTCGGTCAAGGTGGTCCGGACTCACGGACGATACACCTCCCCACCATAACATCCTAAGCCCCATTCGAGCCGACACGGTCGTGAAGCAAAGGAAGGACAACGAGAGAGCAACACCGCGCAGCCGACGGCGAGAACCAGGAATCTGTCATTAAAGAAGTCAGCAATAAAGCTGTTATAACCTAAACTCTGTCTTCTCTTTGGTCGGGCAATCACACAAATCATAAATTTGGTGGGACTAACACACAAACTCTCTGAGCTAGCCGTTGCAATTCGTAGCGAGCAAAACTAAGAATAACAGTTCGTTACAAGTTATTATTCCCTTAGGAGGCGAGATATGCCCCATAGTTCAAATTAAACAAATTAAATAACCATGATTTCTTTAATTAAATACGGTTAGTAATGGTAATGAGATTATGATAGTTTTACTTACTTTTCCAGCAGGGCGGATATAAAAAAAAGTAGCGTATAATTATTTCACTACTTGCTGAGTTGCTTTCCTTGCTTAATCCCTCTTATCACTCCTTTTATGTCTATTTTCTCTGTCGACATATTTATATTTATATTTGTTTTGTCTACAAAAGACCCACCCTTGGCCACAAAAATAGCTTTTAAGCGTAGATAAACAGTCGTGTTCGTTACATACAAATTGGAACCCAACGTGGTTCCCAAAAGATACATTTCTTGAAAGATTTTTTCCGAAGGATTTTTTTTTCGAATACTTTTACCTTATCTTTTTTGTTTACCTTTATTTTTGTTATAAATTATAATTATTAATAATAGTTTCTGTATTTTGGTCGTACTAAGTCGAACCAGACCGGTCATAATATTATAAAATGTGAGGTTCGTAAAACTACACGCTGATGTTGGGAAAACTAAACTCAATTGTTGAAAACCCTTTATAAATTATTGTCATTTTAAGAACATATTTTTTGACAATTATGTATATCATAGCAAGAAAAGCAAGAAAAGTATTAAGGAAATATGCACTAAATGAAACGACCCAAATACTATGAGTTTGTCAATACGAAAAAATTGTATTTATAGTGGCGTCCGGCCTAAGATATCGGCTTATTCACTAAATACATCACACTTCGGTCAAAAGAGAGGTTCATCTGCGGAGTGGTGCACAGCACTGCTTAGAAGTGAAGTTAAAAAAAATTTTGCCAATGGCAAAAGTATGTTAAAAACATTTATAATATATAGTTTTCTTTAATATTTTTCTTCGTTCTCATTTTAGTTTGAATTGGATATAAACGGTGCACCAAAACTTGGATCAGGATTGCGTGGATTGGGTACTGATGTGGCTATCATAAGTAGCATGGTTTTCTTAGCCCAATTTCTTTTATCTTTATGTATGGGAACTATTATAAAAATATCGGGAACTACAACAGCTGTTATTAGTACAGCCAGTTTTCTAAGTTTTTGTGGAGCTTTGTCTGCTACAAGAATTATGTATTTAGATCTTTAACCATAATATGAATAAAACACTTAATTAATTTTAACAAATAATAAACTGATACATATTATTTTGACTTAAAAGTATTTCTTTAATTAATCTTTAAACTTTAAACTAAATCTTTATAATTAATCTTTAAACTAAATAATTTAAAGTATATGGCTTCAATTCACTCATCGGGAATTCTAAGAACTCTTTTGCTATTCTGCACTTCGTGATGAAAAGTAGAAATCCGATTTTATACTCAATGGCTAGTGGATTTACAGTAGCTAATCTGGCTTGCACCTAGGATGAATACATAACGTTACCTAACGAATGTCGACTTCATACATAGGCCGTGAACCAGGCACGATTGAAGACCCCTCAGTTACGACTTCCACATTAGAGGATCCAATCTCGTAAAAAAAGTTATATAATATATTTAATATAAATTTATTATTATATATAAGTTTTTTTATATTTTTTTATTTTCTTAAGGCCAGGGTCTTCTCCGCTGGTATATTTAAATAATGTATCTGCAAAATTACAAGCCAATCAAAACTGGGAAGATTTTGGAATAGGCTTAAAAAGCCTTTTTTTAGTTAATGCCGTCAATATAGTAAGCGCACAAGAGATCTTCCCCCACAACGCTCCTGAATGCCTTCGGCAAATTGTTGCGCTTCAGAAGTTTGGTTATCGCTTCAATCTGAAAGAAAAAATAAAAACAGAATCAGTTTCACTATCATTTAGACTATAAATACATTACTTACGTATAGATCTTTGGACCCTAAGCTTATTTTCAGCCATAAAGCTAAAAAAAATTCTCATCCAATGCGACTGGGCATGCCACATCCTTGGCCTTCCTCTTCAAGAAAACCTCCAGCAAAGCCGTCATCTTTGCAACCTGGTTCGTGGTCTCTGCCAGTTGCTTCCTGTTCGCTTTCATTGCGTTTTCCAAGGCCATATACCCACTTGCTGACAAATACCTAGTCCTCTCTTGCCTGAGTATGAACGGTTTTTTTTTATTTAATGAGAGAGGATCCCTATATTATTTTCGGCATCGACGGTTTTGACCTGTTTTGTGGTAGTAGTACGGGAGTAGTGTTACGGGAGCGGGGGGTAGTGGAGACACCAGTCTTCTTTTACCAAGAAACGAGCTAAGTCGAGACACGAACCTAGGATTCGCCGAGACACATTCAATTGGATAAATATAATTCTTGTTGGAAAATTGTTTAAGTTTCAGTAAAATCCTGTTTGAAGCTGTTTGAAGGTTGGTGTCTAGAAGGTGTATAAATTAGGGAAAGGTTTGCCGGCGGTTAACGCGCGCGGCTTTTACTAATCGGACGTCAGGCGGAGCCGTGACAATAAGAAGATTAGGAGTTTACTTTTAATGCTTTATTATCCCGAGCCAAGCGGAGCTGTAGCGTCGGAGGCAAAATCAGAACTGAATATAAAAATACAAGAATTCAAACTTATGAGCTAGCATGAAAACGAAACACATTGTTGCGATCCCATATTCGTAGCGGCCACGCAAATCTGCAGTGTCTGCCGGCTACGTATCGACATCCGGCATAATGCTTACGTTGCAGTATGCCGATGTCGTCGTATTTCATGCGCCCGTGGGAGCGACGTTAGCTTTAGTTAACTACCCCCCCCTCAAGACGGAGGCCGCCCTCGGCCGATCTTAACTCAGCAATTGCCACGTTCAGTCGTCTTGCGGACCTCTTGGCCTTCCAGGCGCGCCAGCCCACAATGGCAACACATAACAGGAGGCAACATGATGCTGCTACGGTCAGTGCCACTCGCTGGGGTAGTTCGGCGTTGAATTCTTCTCTGAACCTCTGGATTGTCTCTAGGTTACCTTCATTTAGGCGATGAAGGTACGGGAGACTGAGCACGCTTTGGTGGGAGGTGATGTTCAGCAGAGGGAATTTCGCTACCCCCGGTACTCTGTTAATGACGGCACGTCGGGCGAAGGTAACAAGATGCGTACCATGCACCCAGATTTCAGAGCCGTTGTCCACTCGTACCTTGGCGGCCCTGTCGTTGATGATGACGATCCCCTCATCTACATAGGTGATGGGGTCCAGGCTGCTGGGTTGTATTTCGCAGTGCGCCTCGCCGCCTGCATGGAGTTCTTTCGCACAAGAGCTGCCTGATGATAGCTGGCAGAAGGTGGCGCTGGTTGATGCGGTGCAAGCTTTGACGGTGTAGACCTCGTTGTCGCATTCTGCGATAACGCCATCATCTAAACGTAGCATAGCTTCTTCGTGACTGACGGGGAAGATAGTAATTTTCTTACAGGCGAACTTAATTACCGGAAATTTAATGATAAAGTGCGTTATTGGACTGCAGAACCTTTACGGACGATACGGACATGAGGTCCCCTATGGGGGTGTTGGTGGGCTCCTCTAGCCAAACTGAACTCAAATCTGCGTGATCAAGAATATTTGGGCTAACAATGTTCATTTTTGCAAGTGTCACGGCCAACATTAAATTTTGAAGCTCCATCATGAGCATTCTATTTCTCGCGAGCAACGTTTCATACAAATGACCGGAGTCAATTTGCGACGCTTTTGCTGTTTTGAGGATTAAGTTGACAGTGGCAGTTAATTTATTGATTTGACTTTGGATTTTTGTGTTGATTTCTATCTGCCTATTGTTCGCGTCTATCAATCGCGCCTCTACGACCCTACTGTTTTGCAAATCGCTGGCATCAGGTGTACCGGCTACAACCTTTAGTATAGAGCCCAGGAAGTCCAAGCTTCTGGCCACTCGATGGTGCGCGCCCAGCGCATCCAGCAAGTCCCGGAGGTGTGCTGAATCTACTTTCAGCAAATTTCTCATGTGTGACTGCGGGAAGTGGCTAAGCAGACCGACCGTCTCCTCTACTACACGTGCGTACTCCGAAAGATTCGCGGAGTGTCTCACGTAGGCGAAATTCTCTCACACCAAGATCTGGCCATCGACTATGGGAATGTATTTGGCGCGCGAATAATCGGTGATGTGAGCCGATGCCAATGATAGAGACACGAGAAGGATAAGATTGGTCCTGTGGGTGAAAGTTTAAATGGTTGATTTTTCTATTTTGTAGACAAGGGGAACCCAACACCAATAATAATAAAAATGCTTAAGAATATAATGTGCGCGGATGGCGCTACGCTTAGATCTATTAAAAATTACGCCAAGTGGCTAGAAAAAAATTTAAAATTAAGCGAAACACTGACCTCGCTGCTGAGCGCGTCATTTTAAATTGTCCTTGTGGACCACCCTCCCCTCAATAAGGACCGTGTTCCCCATGTCCGCTTCTACAGCTCTTTCTTCGCACAACGGCGTGAGCTTGTTGCCGAGTCTTCGGTTGGATTTTACCAACACTTTTTCGCCAACATCGAATGTCCTATTCTGCCGCGAGGCGTTTTCTCTGGCCCTCAGCGCGGTCTGAGCCTTCTGGATCCTTTTGCGGATCTCTGGCTGTGGCTCATCGGGGTGTGTTAGGACGATGTCAGCCGGTCTCCTGTCGATGACCGAGTGAATCGACTTATTATACTGGGTAGTGGCCAACATTACTATTTCGACCGTATCACTCAAGCCCTTGTCTATCTTTATGCATCTGGCTAGCTCCAGCAACGTGCTATGGAAACGCTCCACCTGCCCGTTGGAGGTGCTGTGCAGTGGTGGTGCGTTTGTAATGCTTACACCAAAGTTGTTATACAGCATGGAAACGATCGTGTGCGACTTCAACGACGGTTCGTTGTCGCAATAAATGGTCTTTGCCCTCGGGAAAAAGGTTCATGAGCTGAAGCAGCGCTGGCTTCAGGTCTTCAATAGTTCTCGAGGTGATTGGTTGTACGACGGCAAATTTAGAGAACTTGTCGACGCAAGTGAGGAAAAACTTTTTGTCGGTAGTGAAAATGTCGATGTGCAACATTTCCCCTGTGTGTGACGGTATTGGTGTTTCACCGAGTTCTTGTTTTCTCGGGTGCCTGTCATACTTTGCCCTCGCACAAGTCCTGCAATTCTGCACGATCTCGTTGGCCAGCTTGGCCATTTTGGGGAAGTAGTATTCCGACAATACCTGCTTTACATTTTCTTGCGCTGCTCTATGCGCCCTATTATGTTCAGCAGTTAAGATTTCCCTTCCTTCTTCGATTCTGAGAACGTCCACGACACGGTTCCTGCAATGCCAGAACTTTGTGGCTGGGAACCTCCGTACTATCTCATCTTGTATCATTGCGAGCGTGTGCAAATCGCAATGGAAGGCGTTTACGGCCCTTGGGACGATTGTGTCTGCCAGTTCGTCTAATAAGGACCCCCTGCAGACGAAGTTAACCGTGTGGCGCCTTTTATTCCCGAATAAAATAAAGGTATTTTTAGACGGGAAACGTGCTTCTTCCAGTATTATCTGGTTCTGGAAGCAGTTCAATGGCTTGTCCGTTGACTCGATTGTGTGGGTGAGAGACACCTCACTGTGAATCGTTGCTGCGCAAGATTCGGGCTCTTCTTGCTCCAGCACATTAAGCTGTTGTCTGGACAAGGCGTCCGCTACCAGGTTCTCTTTACCGGGCTTGTAAAATAGACGAGCATTGAACTCGTCTATGCGGGCCTTCCACCTCTTCATTTTTGCGTTCGGGTTTGATTCTGACACAGAAAATGTTAACGGCTGATGGTCAGTGAAGATATTTATATCTTTCACTCCATACAAGTAATGCCGCAGTTTAGCCAGGGCCCAAACGATAGCCAATAACTCACGCTCGTTAGTCGCGTAGTTGGCTTCACTGTCTTTAAGAGTTCTTGAAATCATTGTTATAGGGCGGCCCTCTTGAGACAACACCGCACCTATACCATGGGCTGAAGCATCTGTCGTTAGATCAAATGGCTTCTTATAGTCCGGGTAGCTGAGCATGACATCTTCTGATGCCAATATATTGCGCAGCTTTTGGAACGCTTCTCGCTGGGACCCAGAGAAATGCACCTGAATGTTCCTCGATCTATGCCTACTAACTGTTCCATTTTCGCCCATTAATATGTTTGAAATGGGCCTTGCTATAGCAGCGAAGTCTCTGTAGAAACACCTATAGTAGCTCGCGAGGCCCAGGAACGACCT